GGCCCTGCTCTGTGCGTGACAGGGGGTGGCGCCGCAACCTCCCCATTGACCCTGCCTTGAGTGTGACAGGGGGCGGGGCCCCCACCCCCCAATCGGCCCTACCCTGAGCGTGACTGAGGGTGGCATTGCAACCTCCCGATCTGCCCTGCTCTGTGCATGACGGGGCGGCGCCCCTACTCCCCAATCGGCCCTGCTCTGAGCCTGACCAGGGGCTGCACTTAGGGATTGGGCCTGCCCTCTGCCACCCGGGAGCAGGCCTAAGCCAGCAGGTCGTTATCTCCCGAGGGGTCCCAGACTGCAAGAGGGCACAGGCCGGGCTGGGGGACCCCCATCCCCCCGCCCCCGAGTGCAAAAATTTTTGTGCACCGGGCCTCTAGTAATAATAATAATAGGAATGACAATTGGTCCAACCTCTTGGGAGAATAATGTTCAATGCTTAGTAGAGACTAAAATGGGTATAACCCAGCAATTTAATGTGCGCATGGAGTCAACGATGTTTGTAATACTAAAAAAGTGCAAATAACTTACTGTCCACTGATGAGAAAATTGGTAAATTAATTCTGGTTTATTCAAACGATTGAGTTAAAATAAATGGATCAGATGTCTCAACCAGGCATTGGCCCCCAACCTATAGAGCACTCAGGGGAAAGGTTATACCCTATGCAAGATAAGGGCCGTCAGGTGGGTCACTCATGAAAGAGCAGTCATTATGAAGAGAGAAAGAGGAGGTGTGGAGGGGGAGGGGGCGCAGCCATTATAAGAGCACACAGCTCTTAAAATACTTCTGCTGCTGCTGCCACCCATGTCTCTGTTTAACAAAAATCCTCAGGGTTACAGGGAAAAGCTCCCATGGCACCTGTGTGGCATAGCAAAGGGTTAAATCAAACTCAACTTAACCTTGGGGTTCTTAAGCTCTACAAGTAACCATAACGTCCATAAGTTGTCCACAGCCTTCTGATGTGAGAAACTATCCCCATACTATAGGCCATTAGAGCAGCAATTACTGCCAGCATACTGGACTCTCTGCCAAAGAGAACCTGTGACTGTCCATCCCCAGCTGCCAGTTATGCCTTGGGTCCTAGAAGAAACACCTTGCAAGCTCAGCACAGCCACCAAGACTTCCTTTCTGTAGAATAGAACCAAATCTGGGCCCTCTGGCACATCACGCCTGCAGGAGGACATGGCCTCCCTGCCCGCACTCCTTTATCAGATGTCATGGTATTGGAAGAGGTCACCTCTCTTCAAAACCCTTTGAATACCTGGGTAGCAACTTGGGTACGAATGAGTGAACAGCAATAGGAGTTTGGGTTCTTCAAACTCCTGTTAGAAGTTTGATGGACAAACTTGCTGTTAGGTGGACAGCATCACCACCATTGCACATGAGGAGGCTCCCTGGAGACCTACTCCTAAATCCTGCCCAGGATGTTCCTGACAAAGGAAAGGACCCAAGGATCAGAACTGGCTGAACTTGCCACAGTCGTCTTAACAGTGAATGCTCCGGTCAACAATTGGAGCCATCTGCACATTTTTACCGACGCTTGGGCCACTGCCTAAGAGTTGTGCCCTTTGGGGTAAAGAACTCTGAAACTCTCTTGCTTCCCAGATACTCAGAATATAAATTAAGGTCACACATGTCTCAACATATACTAAAGCCATAATAATAGTCCTTGCCAAGACACTCCTTATTCCCATCAGAGTTCCAGGCATTACTCATAGTGACCAAGGCACTCATTTTATTTCTCAAAACACACTTCATTGGGATCTTGAACAAGGTATTCAATGGGACCTTCATCTTCCTTCCCAGGGTGAGGATAGTGTTCAGAAATACAGGTACTCCTGCAACAAAAGTAGGCTTTCACTCTTAAAATTAATCCACAAGTTCTTCCATTTACCAAAGAAGGTACTAAACAAAACTAGATGAAAGCAAAAACGTGGTTGGCAGCACAGTGATTTAAACTCAAGTCTGAGCCCCTTATCTGGAGCTGATAGTTAAGGGAAGGGGGTGAGTCTGGGTCAACGTGACATCGGGTCAGAACCGCGACAATGGAACCGGAGTCCAGGGGGCCTGAGGCTAGACATCTGGATGGGGCAGTTCAGGGCCAAATTCCTGCACTCCGCGCCCACATAAAAACAGATCTTCCACCGTGTCCCGGAGGGGACAGGCTCGCAGGAAGCACAGGAAACCTTCTCCTTGGTAACAACTTTCCCCGTTTCTCCAAAAAGCACCAAGAAAGGGGAGGCAGGAACTAATTATCATAATGTGAGCGGGTTCAAACAGCCAACGCGAAGGAAGCTGGTAAGCCGCCTTTTGGGAACCGACCCTGCGAGGAGCCACTTACCGGGCGGACAGTCGGAGGACCCTCCATCGCGGCTCCCTCTGCCGCCGGCCGCGG